GCTTTATAAGACGTCGTGGACAGAAATACTGTCATAAAATACGTGTGACGCAAATTAAGAAAACGCTCGACTCACACTGTCTTGTCTATATGTGAGCAATATAGCGGTGTTTCGACTGTTTCGCTCGCTCGAACGTCCATGCATTTTTTCTTGTTAGCAAGAAAATTACTGTAATGTAAAAGAAGATCTTGGGGAAAAGTTTTCAGGAGGTTTCGATAAGTACTTCTTAATAGCTGCTCTTGAAAAAAAAAATATTAGATTTATTTCAATATATAATACTGAATCAATGTAGAATACTGCAACAATACAGCGCTTTTATAGGTTGTCGAAGTAGAGTATTTTTAATTTTAGTGTTGCATAAACACGCGAGATATAATTATTTCATATTTTATGCGTTCGAATATCGTTCCATCATTATAAAATTTGTTGGCCCTGAAAAAGGCCAATTTTTGCGCCTCTTTCAAATAATTATTGTGTCTTATTACTCTACTTCGACAACCTATACAAGCGCTGTATTGTTGCAGTATTCTATATTGATTCAGTATTCTATGATTGCATTCGGGAAGCTCGCTATTCAGCGCTACCGTGTCATTCTATCTTTGTTATATATCTAAGAAGTGATAAAGATAGAAGAACGCAATAGCGTTGGTAGCGTGTTCCCCAAACGTACCCTATATTGAAATAAATCTAATATTTTTTTTTTTTTCAAGAGCAGCTGTTAAGAAGCACTTGTCCAAGCCTCCTGAAAACCCTTCCCCAAGATCTCCTTTTACATCACAGTAATTTCCTTGCTTATAAGAAAAAATGCATGAACGTTCGAGCGAGCGAAACAGTCGAGACACTGCTATATTGCTCACGTATAGACGAGATAGTGTGAGTCGAGCGTTTTCTTAGTGTGCGTCACATGTATTTTAGGATAGCATTTCTGTCCACAACGTCTTATAATATTATCTCTCTCGCTCTTACGTCCGCGATAGAGGATGAAAGATCGCCGCCACTATTCCCTCTCCAAGCGTTCGACCATGGTGTAAGAATATAAAGCCCTATGTACAATGCTAGGCAACAGGCAATAGGAATAAGCATTAACCAATAGGAACAGTGAATAGAAATAATTGACCAATCCAAATTCCTATTCCCTGTTCTTATTGCCTGTTGCCTGACATTGTGCATAGAGTGTAAGGTGTACCGTTGCGCATAATAGAAGGAAAAGTAGGGGTATAGCCAATAAAATGATACCCAAAATTCAACCGCGACATTCAAACGCAGTTTTATCTACAGTACGACAAAAAGTGAAAACAATGTTATAAATATAATAAAAAACTGAGTAAATAAGTTGTTCTTAAATAGAATATTAGTTAAATGCTATATAAATCATTAGTGTTTAATTCAACAAAAAGCAAGAAAGGTGCAGTATTGGATTAACGTATATAAGTTGTGGGAAAGTAATAACTTATTCTTGTGTTAATTATATATAAATATATAAATATATATGTATGTGTGTGTGTGTGTGTGTGTGTGTGTGTGCGCGCGCGCGCGCGCGCGCGTGTGTGCGTGTGTGTGTGTGTTGTTTTATATTATAAGCAGAACAATGTTATACATGTTTTCACAAATTTGAATAAAACAGTAAACGAGAACGTTAAGACAAATGCTGCGATGTTAAATGTTATCCAGGATGTATGTACACATATGTTGGATCAAGAAACGTTACACTAACTTTATGAATGGTTGCAGATATGCACACTTGCAGATTTACACAGTAAATACGGATGTGATCGAAATAGAGGAGTTCTTGGAGTCGATTATGTTTCTCGTCAATTTGTAACAATTACAAAAATAAGCATATTTACTAGAATATTTGTACTTGTTATTGGTTAACTTAAAGTATATTCGCTCACTTTTGAACTGTGCACCGAAGTACCGAGATACAGAATTGATCACTTGTGTAATTGGAAAACGTACTATTGTATAATGTAATAATACAACGGGTGAAAATAATTTTTAAAAATGATTCGACAAGGATTTCTTATTCCTGCGCAAATAAATTAACGGATATGATTCGAGTACATAAAGACAGGCTTCCGCTTGGACTCCATAACAACATCGTCTACAAGTTGCAATGCAGTAATTGTGAGGCATCTTATGTCGGACAGACTAGTAGAAAACTCTCTACGCGGGTTCCTGAACATATGAGAGTTCCAAGAAGTGCAACGGTGGAATTGACGGCCGTCCAAAAACATCGTTTTAATTTAAATCATGAATTTAATTGGGAACACATCAAAGTCTTGCACTAGGAACGTTTTTACATCAAACGATTAGTGGCGGAGATGATTTACATTGGTCTTCAGAACAAAGGATTAAATTCACAAAAAGACACGGAATATCTTGGCAATAGCTATTGCGGTTTGTTTTGATAAGCTGATGTTCGTTTTCCTTCTCTTCCGCAGTTGCCTCTTCTTACTTCGTTTGCTTATGTATATAAACTGATTGTGATTTACATTCTAATACTTGGTAATATAAATCGACAATTGTGTTCCACACACCTGGTTTAAACTATAATCTAATTTTAAGGTAATTTATAAATTTTCTATTTAATTTTTTAACGATATCCTTTACTTTTTACAGACTCTTTTCTTTATACTTTTTGTTAGACAAAAACCGCAGCATACTATACACGTATGAACAAAGAATTAAGAACTGATTGCGAGCGTATTTGTCGACTGTAATATTAAAAAAACTATTTATGTTCTTCGTGAGCATCCAAGTTCGATATTATTAGTTGTAATTCGCGTTCTGTATTAGCATCGAGACTTTTTCTTTGTATGTTTTTATCACTGAAGAGGGTTCACGGCTGAACCGAAACGTTTGATGATTTTTAATAAAATACTTTATTTCCTAATAAAGGAAGGTAATATCACTAAATTTAGGTAATATAACACTACTACGTCCGTGCTTGAACTCAGATTAGTTTTTCCTATCCTTAGATTTGAAAATAATGAGATATGAACAAAACACAATAATAGTAAAATATATATTTGTACATTAACGTTTATCATATATAGAAATATATATTTGGAACTATTACAAATTTTTCGCATTTTCTTTATTTGCAATTTTTTTAAATTTTCTGTCCTTTTTTGTTAATCAAATTATTTGCAACAATTCGTTTAATGAGTGTTCGTAATCAAATATACGTTCGAGTGCGAACAAGACATGCAATTACCTCTTTCGGGAAATTGTTATTTAATTGCGAATAGACAATATCGGTTACTTTATCAAATATTTTGTCTTCTTGACTGAGGCTTCTCCATGAAAATTTATAAATGATTTATTCATTATTTTCGCTGCACGAATGAACTAATGCAATAAGTTAGAGTGAGACAAATATACTTTCTTTCACTCTAACTTATTACACTAGTTCAGTAGTGCAGCGAAAACCGATCTATTGCTTTCTGCATTTTGGATAGTCTCTGATTGGTCGAAATGAAGACGACTGCGCATCCACGGGAACGGTACACCTTATATTCTTACACCATGCGTCCGACGATCGTATACCGCTAGCTCCCTCCGCTACTCCATGCTGCTTGTGCCTCAACTAGCAGACACTTACCAGGCAGCAGTTTGTGAGTGACGCGTCATCGTGTGCAAGTCATACAGATATATGGATGGCATTAACGCCAGTGCGTGTACATGCCTCGCGGCGTCATGCGCATGCTCCGTGCGACATAGAACAGTGCGCGAATTAGAAATGTATTAGAACATAAGTAAAAAAGTATTACTGAAACATTTGCATACGAATACATTTGCATACTGGAGGTCTAGGGGGCGAAGCACCCGGTCAAAGGGGTTCGGGGGAGCAAAGCCCCCTCCCCCGGTTTGGTAAAAGTAACATTCTAAAAAAAAAAGAAAAATGCATCTCGCATAGTGTTACACATGTGTTGTTTTTGCCATTCATACCTTGCATAGGGAGTCATGCTTATCTTTTTAGAATCCATTTTAATATATAGTAAACTCATACATTTAGTAAGGCGAAGATTTATTCATAGAAATATAAGCAATGCATTATAACACACATATGTCATATTTGCATACTTTTGCACGTTGCTACAGATATTAGATCTATATAATCTTTGCCTTACTAAATAAATGAGTCTACAAGATACTAAAAATTATTACTAAAATGGATATTGAAAAAGCAAGCAAGACCTCTACGCAAGGTAGGACGTATTAATGGCATGCAAAAACAACACACATTTAACACTATACGAGATGCATTTTTCTTTTTTTTTTAGAATGTTACTTTTACCAAACCATTTGGTACGTCCTATCTTGCGTAGGAGTCTTGCTTGTCTTTTCAGTATCCATTTTAGTATATAGTAGACTCATATATTTAGTAAGGCGAAGATTTAATAGATATATTTATTTAATATATATATATGCGATATATCGCTACATATCGTCGGTGTGACAGATTTCCTAACCTAACGCGCCGTCAACTTTCTTGGCTAATATCTTGCTACTCGATGCAGAGCGACAATTTTGTAAAAAAAAAAAGTTGTTTCTTGTACAAAAATGTGTCGATTAAGTCTATTTTCATCGAAATCGAAAGTGAGAAAGCTAAACTGGATAATTACCACATTGTTATATAACATTACACACACACACACACACATATGCGAGTGTAACAGCGTCATCTTATTTTTCAAGAACAATTACGCATTATCGTTCTAAATAATTGCAAAAATAAATAGTTCACAATTACATAAAATATCTTCTATATGCCGCTATTAATATATCATCGCAACAATTCTGAATTTTACTTGCGCTTTTCGTAGTGACAACGCTATTATAGATAAGTAACGTGTTTTTATATCACGTCTCACCTTTTTATCGTTGATTGATTCACGTTAGTTCTGTCGAGATCGTATACAGGCGCGCAAAAAATACACCCACACACGCGCGACTCTTGTCGTTGTTGACAACCGTCTATTTCCGAAATTGCGGCAGCGCTGGGACCGCGCTATATTTCTCTGTCTTGCATAATCCAAGCGTCGAATGCACTTAAAATGACAAAGGATTCAATAACTTCTCTGATATTATTCTCCTTGAGCGTATAGTGTATTCACGTTTCGAGAAATTTTGATGCGCAGGACCTATTGAAATCGCCGCATTACGGTCTTATGAACATTCTATGATGTCTACAATTCCCTATTTTGCTCCTTGTTTTTATATACGACTTGTAGCTTTATATTATTCCCCCCTTCCCTCCAACGACTTTAATTCCATTCACGTCATGTATGTATCGATAAATCACATGATAATTGTTATATGTGACTAAATGTCTGAGTAACAGTCCACAAGTGCCTTTATCTAAAAAATCGTTGTTCCCGTTTATTACGAACCGTCGCGGAAGCCGTTTAATAAATGTCCGATAAAACGACACCATATTGACAAATACCGGGGCGATCAGCTGATTCAGCTACAAATGACGTTAAGGTACCTTTACATGGGAGCATCAAACGTCGAGCGTTAAAGCGGTAGCCAATCAACGTGCCACTTTCCGCAAGAACTACAAGTATACTTCTGGAACCTGATACGTTGATTGGCTAACGCTTTAACGCTCGACGCTGGGACGCTCTCATGTATTGGCACCTTTAAAGATGGAAGCACATAGACTAAAGCCCGTATCAGACTACGGATTGAGATTGAATTGACAATTGGCCAATCAGAGCAATGTTCACCAAACTTGAACTTAGTGAATTTTGCTCTGATTGGCTAAATTTCAATTCAATCTTAATCCTAATCTATAGTCTGATACGGGCTTAAGGGGCGCCGCACACGAATTGACATAACAATAAAGGGACGTCTACATTGGAAGTAAATAGCAAGAAGTAGGAAGTAAGAGTAAGAAATTGACCAACCACAGTCGAATGTGAGAAGAATAATCAACTATGATTGGTCAATTTCTTATTCTTACTTCCTACTTCTACTGCTTACTTCCAATGTAGACGTCCCTTAAGGGCCGTGGCACATAGAAAAACTTAAGCAGTAAGACGTAAGCAGTAAGCAAATTGACTAATCACAGTCGTTGATTCTTGGACCGTAAGAAGAATCAATGATTATGATTGGTCAATTTGCTTATTGTTTACGTTTTACTGCATAATGGCTCCTACATACAGGGCCCTGATTCTCGAAAATATATCGCATACGACATTTAGTGGAGAGCTATAGTATACGTAACATGAACTATAGCTTTTTACTAAATGTCGTATGCGATATATTTTCGAGAATCAGGGCCCAGGACGCGGTAATGCTTGCCGCGCGGCGGAAGTCCGCGCGATAGCCAATCAATATGTTGTTTTTCCGTAAGAGCTAGAAGATTATTACGGAAAGCATCATATTGATTGGCTGTCGCGCGAACTTCTGCCGCGCGGCAAGCATTACCGCGTCCTGTGTGCAGGAGCCATATCGATATATTGAATGTGTTCGGAAATATCACCTGTGTGCACCCGCTGCGTTAGAGTGAGAGAGATATAAAAATGAGATAAAAAGAGATGAAGAACGTCTAGATGTCGTTTCCGAACGCACTCTAGTTGTGATGGATCTGTCATTAAGTTACATTGAACAGACGTTTAATAATATGTCACTCTCTAAATATATTATTTAAGAAAGTTCTTTGAGAAATTTGACAAAATTTCTAAATCAATATGGCTCATATTAATAACGTATTTAAAGCTGTGGAAACATTAAACTCACTTCAAGAATCGAATATTACATCGGATTCCGGAACAAGGTATAAATAATATGTATTTTGTAACAATTAAAGAAATTCTGTTAACCGCTTTTGATAAAAATGAATTTTCATTAACAATAGGAAAGAGAAAATATCATGTTGTACAATTATAGTTGAAGGAATATGTTCTTCAACTGTCAGACAAAATCTCAAGTTTCCACAAATTCTTACTGTTACCATTGAAACATTGCTGGCACTATGCAATGATGAAGAATCAGACGTCAGAATGGTTGCAGATGAGTCCCTCAATAAAATTATAAGGGTATAATTATACTTATATTAGTAGTATATTTACCAAATTCTAACCTATAACAATAATCATAAATGTAAAAGAATTAATATTTAAAAATAACACATGATAAACATGTATCATTGTTTGCTATACATATTCTTATTAAATATTTTGAATTGAACTATCTATTTAGGCAGTTGTTGACAGTAATATTGTTAAAGTTCAAATAGAACTTTATAATGAAATAAAGAGAAATGGACCTGCACGTATAGTGAGAGCTGCTCTATGGAGGTTTGGTTTGTTAAGTCACATGATACGTCCTACAAGGGGTAAAGCTTATGTGTCAAATTTAATACCATGTATAGTAATTATAGCACATCGATCTGAGGATATTGTAATTGAAACATTATCACAGTCATTACCATTGATTTTAAAAGTATTAGGACCATTTATGACAGACAAAGATGTCAAGGTAAATAATCCGATATTGCTATAAGATATTATTTGTGAGTTAATATAAAATTAAATTCATTGCAGACATTATTAAAAGCATTTTTTGAAAACATCTCTTCTACTCAAGCAGTTTTTCGTAGAGCAGCAGCAAACATGATCTTGACAACGTGTTTGAACTGTAGAAAGCCACAATTCTTTTTAAATTATGTATTGGATTATTTTCTAGGTACGATAGACAATTATAACATTTTATATCTGCAAAAAACTATTATATTTTAATGATATTTATTTTATCAGATGTAATAATGCCTGTAAAAAATATTGAGGATCACTCATCTACTATTATAGGCATATTTGGATGCCTAAGAGTCATCCTACCTCATATATGTAAAACCTTGGAACCACAAGTTGTTGAAACACAACAAATGGATAATTTATTACATATATATGAATTGTGTTTGCACTACACAAAATGGCATTCCGAACATAATATCGTAAATGCAGCTTTAGAGACTTTGGTGCAACTTTTGAAAATGCCCCCAAAGTCTTTAGTATCTGTTTTATTGTCATCACAAGGCATAACTCAAAGCAGGATAACGTTGAATCACATATCCACCTCATTATTAGGCCAAATGAGTATTTCCAGTACGAGTACTGTTCATGGAGTCAACTCCGACTCAATTTTGAACTTGCACGAACTAGATGTTCCAGAGATTACTCCAAATATAGACAATTGGATTACAGAAACAGAAATTGTGTCGCCAGCTTGTTCACAACCACAGAATGAATGCGCGAACGATATAATAGAGATGAAAGGAAAAATAATGGAAAATTACTGTGGTCTGAAAATCGGAGTTATCGATAGTAAGAATAAGCACGTTAACATAACTTGCATAATAATTTTACAAGTATCAAATTTTAATTAATTTCTTAGGTGAAGTTGTCGAGGAAGGTAGTGATGTTGGGAGCGAGATCGAAAAATCGGTTAAAGCACCGTATTTGAGTCTGTTGAGTGAATCGAAGGAAGAGGATTATTCTGAAGAAACTGCCATATCATTTGCCTCTCCTAAGAAATCCTCTTTGGATTTCGCGTTGTATGAAACGGATATTGGAAATTTTACAGACTCGGATATGCCTATTAAATTTTGCTGCCGTTATTTAGTGTCATCCTTTTTATTAGCTGGCAAACCCGGCCACTTAGTGCCAGACAAGTTATTTCGTGTTAGTGTAAAGTCTCTTGCTCTAACGTGTGTGGGTTATATCTTGAAACTCTACCCACACTTGCTTACAATGACTGTGACCAAAGAATCTAGCTGCTGCAATGAGAACAAACAATTGATTGCAGATATTTTGTTATTTGCCAATCACCCAGATCCTCAGATCAGGGGCAATATAGCGATGGTGATTGGAACCTTTTTAAAGTCTGTTTTTGTTCAGTATGGTGGCTCTTTCCAGAAGTTCGAAACTGAGTGCGCTCAGAAGGGACATGAAAATATATTACTAGGAGATATGATAAAGTTGCTTCTAAAGGTGAGTATGCATATTTTAAAAAATGCTAATCTGAATCAATAAGATTAAGATGTTTAACTTGCGTTTGTTTTATCAAATATACAGAGCTTGAATGATGATTCTGCGACAACATGTCGTCAAACGCTGGATGCGTTGAACCTTTGCTTATCAGAGTTGCTAGATTCTGTTAACAATGAACATGGTTTTACCATTTTAACTGCGTTGCCAAAACTTGTGAAAAATCCATATTTTCTAGTAAAAGTAAAATTAGTCGATTTATTGAGTAAATTATCGTACATCACGATAGAATACATAACAGGACAATCATTTCAAGAACACTTTATTGACGTTATAATAACATTATTGGGCGATCAGGATCAAAGAGTGAGACATGCAGCATCAGATGCTATCGTTAAGTAAGATATATTTTTAATCTCATCATTTTATATTCAGGGTTGGGTAAGTTAATTTTTTGTAACTAAGCTAAGTTTAAAGTTGAAAGCCTATAAAATGAACTTATATATATATATATATATATATATATATATATATATATATA